GATAGATAGATAATGAACATGAGATAGATAGATAGATAGATAGATAGAGAGATAATGAACATGAGATAGATAGATAGATAGATAGATAGATAATGAACATAATGAGATAGATAGATAGATAGATAGATAATTAACATAATGAGATAGATAATGAACATAATGAGATAGATAGATAGATAGATAGATAGATAGATAGATAGATAATGAACATGAGATAGATAGATAGATAGATAGATAGATAGATAGATAACATAATGAGATAGATAGATAGCTAGCTAGATAGCTAGATAGATAGATTGTGGCACCATTTAACGAGGCAGAAAAAGAAAAGAAAGAAAAGAAGAAAAGGAGAGGCTAAGGACCGAATCGTGGATGATAAGCAGAACACACACACGGCTAAGAGGCAATGGATAAGGGATATTTTGATAAGTAACAAATGGCGAAAGGGTGTTATTACAATGACATTCCCTGTAAAAAAAAATTCTGAGTAAAAAGAAAGGGAAAGAAAGAAAGAATCAGATATGTTTTGGCGACGGCTGTGTTATCTAAGGATATGAAAACAAACTATTGGTACGGAAAGGCATCTTATTATCAGACCGACTGGCCAAAGAAAAATTCAAATGAAAATGTTATTTCGATATGTGACGAAAAACAGGCAACTAAAAGGACTTTGGTTAGATAGGAAAAATTAATTGTATCAAAGCCACACACACGACTGTCCATTGACCGAATTCTTTCGACGGAACATCCTTGGCCTGCGATAATAAAATTATGTTATCAGAAATATGTACCGAAGGGAAATGAATGGGAATTTTGAAATGTCTTTTCGGGGCGACGTTGGCCGTGTTAAGAAGACCACCTATTCGGATAATTAGCGATAAAATACCTGACGAAAACCACGTGTAGAACAAGAGTTATGACGGCCATTGTTCATATTGTCCCGTTTGCGGCTAGAGAAATGATAACGGCGATTAAGAGGAAGAAAAGGAAAAGAAGGGATAATTTTTTTTAGTTAAGCAAGATATTTTTTTTCCCTGAAACAAAGCCGCAGATTCGTCCACGCCCGGCTAAGACATCATTGGACGCACGAAGGAGGCTGTCGCCGCCTCATCCAGAGTGTAGGTATGAGAAGCTGCTACGAAGAAGTGGGGAGGGCAGTTCACGCCCTCTGAAGTATGGTGAGAAGGTGGGAGTGAGGAAAGGTTCCCAAAAATGGAAAAGAGTGGAAAATCCCTAACCAGAAATAAAAGAGGTGGATATGTATTTAGAATTATCGAGGAACCCCCGACGCCGACAGACCCACCCCGGTTTTGGTCGGCGTCCATATAAGCGAAGCCCCAACGAGCAGAAATCAGTTCCAGTGAGTTCCAGTGAGTTCCAGTGAGTTCCAGTTCCATTTTCAGTTTGAGTTGGAGTTGCAGCGAGGAGTCAGTCTCCAGTTGAAGCCGCCTCGCAGATAGCTGACCAAGATTCACGCAAATTCCGGACTCCTCTTCAACCCAAGAACAATTATTTTGAAGAGCGACTTAGATCCAGACCACCACAATCAGTTTTTTTTCGACTTTCGTCCAAAGACACACCGAAACACCAATTTCTTAGAGAGCAAACAACTTGAAGCGTTAAAACTTGCCTAACGGAAAACGACGTGTCACAATTCATAGAACGGGTCGGGAGATAGATGCAGTCCTATGTATCGAACAACTAGACATAAAGTTTGTTACCTTTTTTCTTTGATACTTTGAACTTTTGAGTTTTCATTTTATTTTCTTTCATGCATATTTGTGTGGTATCACCCCCGTTGAACTCGGTTTGCATTACGGCCCCAACCACTGTTTGATCTCGTCTGCCTAAGATCAATTCACAACGTGGGTAGGCAGACTGGAGATCAATGGAGTTACCTTGGTAACCAGGCGTTGGAAGCGAGTTGGGAACGACGAGGCTGATATCAAATCTAACCAGATTCCCACCCGAATCACCAAAAGGTTAGAACGTCACATTTGGGTGCCGCGACCGATACCAAGCCAGTTGGTCGTCACAGGACAACACGACTGACGCGACAGGCGAACGTCACGTTTGGGGCAGCGAGGAGCAGCGAGGAGCAGCGAGGAGCGAACGGCTGGCGCCGCGGCGAGGACGTCACAATTGGTGCTGTTTAGGGACGTCACAGTTGGTGCCGTGGTAGACCAGAATAGAACGTCACAGTTGGCGCTGCGACCAGGGGGCGACGTCACAGATAGATAGATAGATAGATAGATAGATAGATAGATAGATAGATAGATAGATAATGAACATAATGAGATAGATAGATAGATAGATAGATAGATAGATAGATAGATATAAGTGAACATTGAAGTCAGCACTCAGCACTCAGTGGCGAGAGGCTGTTTAATGCTAGACGCAATCGTGGCCTGACGATTACTGATAACATTACTGGAACATTCTAGAATATAATTTTTTCATAATTAATTGATTATTTTATTCTAATAATTGATTTGTACGAATACTTTTTTCACCAGGTAGAATTTTAAAAAATACATTAATTTCTGTTAGAATAAGAATTAATTAAGTTTATTATTATTTTTTAATAGTAAAAATAAAATATATTATAAATGTTAAATGTGCCGAGATTTGTTTTATTTAAGGCTTTTACATTTATAAAAATACAATTTTTCAAGTGTACGAATATTTATTTCCCCCTACTGTATATATTTAAGACATTTTTTATGTTTATACATTCTTTTTATAGATACAAATACTTAAGTAAATGCTCTGTTTATAATAAACATTATTAAGCAACATTTACCGGCCTGAATGTCCGAGAAATTTAAACTGAGCATTTACTTAAATATTTGTATCAATAAAAAAAATGTCTAAACATAAAAAAATATCTTAAAAATAATTGTCCATTTCATAATGTGTGACGTCATTTGTTTACATTTGATACGCCATTAGCAGACATGAATGTACGTGAGACATTCATAGAAGATTGAAGTTCAAATACAGTAAATTCGACCTTGCTAACTGAACGCACCTCTCTGGCCAAATCGGTTAAAGGCACGCCAAGCTAAATGACGGTTCCGTATAGAATACAGGTTCGAATCCTGTCGGAGGACGAATATTTTCTGTGAAAATTTCTCGGACATTCATCCCGGTAAATGTTATTTAATACTGTTTATTATAAACAGAGCATTTACTTAAATATTTGTATCTATAAAAAGAATGTAAAAACATAAAAAATGTCTTAAAATAATTGTCGGACTTTGTCCATTTCATATATATATATATATACTACGAAATGAACTAACTCCATATATTATTATTATAAAAGTTTATAAGAACATGTTGAAATCGTTATGCACACATTTATGTTTCAATAAATTGATTGTATTTCTTGATGCGATGATAAGTAACTAGTGATTACTTACTATCGCCTGAAGAAGTACAATCAAAGTATTGAAACATGAAAGTATTGTGTAGCGATTTCAACATTTTTTTTTATTATAATCTTTTATAATAAAAATAATAATAATAATAACATATTGCTCTACTTTGTATTGAGCGCTTTTTTAAAGGTAGATGCTACGAACAGTGGAATTTTGAAATTTACTGATCTTTCTCTAATTTGCAAACTTACCAAAAGTCTTCACAAACATTGCTACCTTGTTCTATTTAATAGGGAATGTTTACACTAAAGATGGCTGCCTCAGTGCACTGCGTTTAAAATAGGTAAGTGCTGATAACCCGTATGTATTCCTGGGTTGGTTGCTATCTGATTGAGAAGAAAGAGAGAAGCGTATTCACGTTTTGACAAATCCAATTAATTAGGGAATAAAACGGAAGTTGAATTCTTTTGGTTTCTTCAAGATGGCGAACTTATCGCTAACAAAAATGAATGCCGGAATAGCGAATTAAATTTGCTTTCGTTAGTTTTTTTTTCTTTTCTTCTTCAAGAAGCTCCATTGTTATTCTCATAGAATGGAAACATCAAAATTTAAAAACAAAATGATCTTAAAATTTCATCTTGACAAATTCGCTCAACAAATACGACTTAGTTTTAAACATTTTGTAAATAAACAGAATAATTAATATTGCGTATATTCATAGCATTATGTCGTTTTATGTGCGATTATATTATGAGCCACCCATGGCGAACGTGAAAATCAAGCAGAAATAGATAAATATGAACAAACTATGATAGATAGATAGATAGATAGATAGATAGATAGATAGATAGATATGAACAAACTATGAGAGCTATATAGATAGACAGCGAACATACTTAGATCGTGAACACATTCAGATAGATAAATAGGAACAAACTAAGATATATATATATATATATAGATAGATAGATAGATAGATAGATAGATAGATAGATAGATAGATAGATAACAGAATTAAAATAGATAGATAGATAGATAGATAGATAGATAGATAGATAGATAGATATGAAAAAACTATGAGAGCTATATAGATAGATAGCGAACATACTTAGATCGTGAACACATTCAGATAGATAAATAGGAACAAACTAAGATAGATAGATAGATAGATAGATAGATAGATAGATAGATAGATAGATAGATATGAACAGACCGGGATAGATAGATAGATAGATAGATAGATAGATAGATAGATAGATAGATAAAAGAGAGAGGAAAAGGAAGAACGAAAGAGATAGGAAGGAATCATAAATAAGATAAAGAAAAAAGATAGATAGATAGATAGATAGATAGATAGATAGATAGATAGATAGATAGATAGATGCATTCTTACTAAGCGTGCGAACCTTGAAGGTTGAAATCTTGAACTTGTCTCATAAACTGAATATCAACGCCAACTGTATTCCAGACCACCGCTATTTTCATAGTGATATCAAACTCAAACATCACTCTGTTGGGAAAGGCTGGCTCTTCATCACAGCCTCTGCTTGGAAAAATTCCGCAGTCATCACCATTGGCAGTGTTGGCATGTTAATCATTCCACTAGCACATAAAGCGCCTATGAATATTGAAGAAATTGAACCTGGAATCATCATAGCTCGCTTCAAAGACAGCCCTCCTGCTATTTGCCAACAAATTCTGTCGACGAAGAAAAGGTGACACATTTCAATCTATATCTCTCTTCTCTTGTCAGACTAGTCCCAAACCATAAGTTTTTGATTATTTATTGTTATATGAATAATCAGATTGGTGTCAATTACGTACACACATTTGCATATCATGCTTCCGCTAACAGAAAAGGCATCTTTCTCGAAGTCTTCATACAGGAAAATAATCTTGTATGCCTAACCACCAAATTCCAAAAGAGCTCTAAACAATAGACATTCACTTATGCCAATGGCACAAAGACTCATTTGGATCACATTCTGATAAACAAGACTTGGAAGAACAGCGCAAAGAATTGCCAAGGCTTCAAGACATTTAAAGGTTTATCTTTAGACCATTGGATTGTCTCTTTCACCATCCGATTTCGCCTTAGAGACCAAAAAAAAGCAGCCTTACTTCCCACCATGTCACTGATCTCTCATAAAAGCAGTCATCTCAAAGACTAGTACATCATTGCTGTGAGGAATAAGTTTTGAGACACTACAAGCAGATTCTGAGGAATCATCTAATACGACCTACAATCATTTTGTTACTTCTCATGAAACGGCTGATTAAAATCTAAACATCAACAACACATTCTTTGGGAATCAAATAGCATTGAATCCCAATATTAAAGAAAACAGCCGCCATATTAAATTTAAATCCACCCGTTAAATCTATTTAAGACGTCAACGAAGCTCTTGCCCAAATCAAGAACTCTTATGAAGATCAAAAAACTGAATACATCAAGGAAATAAATCGTCTTATAAACTCTACTGCGGCCAACAAACAACCTTGGAATACTGTCAAGGAGATCAGTGAAAAAAAAAAAAGGTCAAGGCTGAAAGGCTAAATAAATGACAAGATCAACTTAAAAATCTCTTGAGAAATGTACCTGACATTTTAGATACTTAAGTCGAGCAATTCATTGAACATCCTCTTGACATTAAAGATGGAAACTTTCCAGATGCAGAACTTGAAACGGTTTTAGAAAAAATACCAAAAATAGGAAAGTAGTGGAACTTGATAACATTCCACTAATTTGTTTGGAAGACTCGGGATATCAACTATATTCTACTCGAACTTTGTAACGCCATACATAATGAAGAAATCATAGCAAGATGAGCAGAAGGCAGCACAATTCCATTCCCGAAGAAGAAAGAAGAGGAATTACACACCCCTCCACTGCAACAAAAATTTACAACTGGAAGTAGAGAAGGTGCTCCGAAAAAATCAAAATGGATTTCAAAAAATAGATAAGCCCATTTTTAGCATCATTGTTATTATTATTATTATTATTATTATTATTATTATTGCTTTTATAATTTAGAAATCTTCATTTTACTAAATTCTAAACGCAATAATAATAATAATAATAATAATGCTAAAAATGGGCTGGATCTTCATCTTGGAGGAAGCATGGCGGAGTAATGGATAGTGGCTCGGATTGAGGAATCGGTGAGCTGAGTTCGAATTCCAGTCGAATCCATTACATTCAATTACGTGCTAATACCTTAGGGGAAGGTATGAATCCTCTTCTCTCCCCACCCCTAGACATGGGTAAATAGCAGGACAGACTGGGTTCTATAGTCTTGGATGGCAACTTGTTTACCGCAAAAAGATATGGCAACCTACTGGGGGAAAATCTGCCTCGTCAGTCATGAATCGAAAGATACATGATCGCCTAAGCGTGTATCACGCATGGCACATAACTGACGTAGGAGGCACAGTAGATTAATCGATAGCGGCTCGGATTGAAGAATTCATTCGAATCCATTACATTCGCTTACATGCTAATACCCTTGGGAAAGGTATGAATCCTCTTCTTCTCCCCACCCCCAGCTATGGGTAAATAGCAGGACAGACCAGTTCTATAACCTTGGATGGCAACTGGTCTATCGCATAAAGAAGGAAATAGCTACGTACTGTGGGGAAAAAATCTGCCACGTCAGTCATCTTTCGAAAAATGCATGATCGCCTAAGCCTGTATTACGCATGGCACATAACTGACTGAATCTTCATCTTATATTCTCACGTATAAACTCGTAAAAATTTACAACTCAATACTTCTCAACAAAATCCAGCCGGAAGTAAAGGTGCTCCGAAAAAATGAAAATGGCTTTCGAAAAAATAGATCAACCGCTGGGCAAATCCTAACTCTTTGGCGGATTATTGAGAGCATCAGGTCAATGAATCTAGAGGCCGTTTTACTTTTTTAAAGCCTTCGATTCTGTCCATAGAGGGAAAATGGAGATCATTCT